CCTTATACGTGAAGGTAGGTTATACTGTGGATTCGTTTGCATTGTTCATGTGACAGTTGTTCTGTATCCGTTGGATGTCACCACACTGAGCGCGGTGACATCCAACGGATACACCTTCTTCATATCTTCATCTAGTATATGTGGTTTTTTTCTTGCTGATGATTCGACAGTACGTCTCCCGTGATGAAACTAGCCGGTGCTGAACCATTTTTTGCCTGTCACATCCGGCACCACAGATCTAGATGGACTAAGCTGCCGGTAAAACAACACGACAACCACAAATCGTCTGTGAAGCTATGCGACAGAATGGAATACTTTTTCGATAGTTTGATTTGTATTGCCTTTTGAAAATGTTTTCCTCGATCAATATGTGAGATGGATGCTGGACTTGTTCCTCTTGTCAAACGTAACAAACTAATCTGACTTTAGTTCAGCACTCATTTAGAGGATAGGCTGTATGATCGAAACATCTCGCTATGGTTTTCTTTTAGAGAATGGCAGTTACAACTGTTGCCTTCAATTATTTTGTCGAATTTGGTAATTGCAGCAGCTTTCTATTAGATAGATTTATTCGAAACACAATCAGACCATCAATAATTGATTATCAGCCGGCAATTAATCGTCAATTTCAGTATGTTTGCATGAGATCTTCACATCTAAATGCATCCCTGCTTTCACAACATTGCTATTTTGTTCCGTGCATTCGTCCATCTGGAATGCAGTATTGTTTATAGCCGTTAGATTTGTCATATTTTCATATTCAAGTGAATCTTGCCATTATACATCGTCGACGTTGCGATACTACACTTTCATTAAAAAAGCATAAGCGACTTTAATGTTCAGAAGTATACCGATTTTCTGACATTGTAAGATAAGCTCAGTCAGTATTAATGACCGCTTGTTTATCCGGATCGTGGAAACAGACAGTGTGTCCAGCGTTCCAGGACGTCTTATAGCACAAGCTTCGGCAGAAGATAATCATAGTCTGGTTGGCTGAGTCATTCGGTTTACCTGTGCCAGGTTATTTCTTGACATCTGTAAGGGCTTTGACCAGTTCGCTGGCGAAGTACTAACTGTTTTGCCTTCCTTTCTGGAACGATTCGCATCGTGCCCACGTTTCGGCAGCGATGACATTTAAGTCAGGTTAAAACAGCAATGTGTATCAAGTCTTTCTTGTATATCCTAATCCGGACATTGTGGAGACTTGTCAGCCCATCAGTTTCTATCAGGGAGCTTTTTCCGACCGCTTGTAGCCGCGATCGATATCTTTTAGTCATCCACGACTCATTACCGTAAGTTAGCACGGAGTTGAAGATCGACATGAACACGGAGAACTCAACTCAGTCTTCAGGATTTTTCAGTGATGGTCCAGGTTTCATGACAGTAGATAAGTATGGAGATAAAGATCGACTTGAAAATCGAGAGCTTAGTCTTCAGATTGAGCTCTGCTTTCTCACAGTGGTTCCGGCTAGTTCACGCAGATCTCCAGTGGCTGTTCCGATCTGCCGGTCAATCTCTTCCCATCTCTCATCACCAGTAATCACGACCCCGAGTTACTTGAACTTCTTCGTTTGTCTGAAGAGAACAACGGGCAGGAGACAGAGAATATAAAACTTCTCCTCTTAAGCACCTATACGTTCACTTAAACTCCCACTGGTATCACAAGAAATTCACTAGCTTAACAATGGTTGCATACTTGCTCACCGAGAACTATCCATTAATATACAATATTACTCGCTGGATCATGCAATTGATGCCACTGACCACTGTCCAGATTTGCAGGTTCAGTGGTAGACTGCTCGATCAAGCTCTGGCGACAACCACCAGTATTCGGCAATACCGCTACGTCAGCGCCACTTTGCAAAATTCCGTTCTCAAAACATATAGGTTTATGGTTCTTCCCTTCTCTTTCCTTGCTATACGGCGTTTCCAAATGGCATAATGTGACAACAAGTCCATCAACATTAATTGATGCTTAGTAGTTCTTGCGATTTATATTAATTTGCTAATGCTTTCGAGGTGTTGTTGACTATTTTGAACATCAGATTTTCTGCTACTCACACGAATGAAAAACAATGTTGAATGTTGAAGCATTATTTGAAATGGTGAAGAAAGCGTTCATATTGTGACCTTTCGTTATATGAATAAAGCCACAGAAATCCGGTGACGCCGAGCAAGTACATCATTGTTCGTTGTGCTTGATTGATGGCTTCGTGATCCTTGCAGACCCAACGGTAGAACCGAGATTTCATAAAATGCGGGGTTCGTTTTATCACCTGAACGACATGAAAATCTTGATGCTTGGCGTTGACGTTTTGAGCAATGACAGTCGCCAAATTCGAGAGCAGAAATTATCGCAAAACTTTCATCTTTCTAACCGCTTTCGTTGGAACCTTATTTTGGCTTGTGTTTTTGAAAAATGAGTCAGGGAACCTGATGAGCCTTCAAAGTTAGGAAACGCTCGAAAGCAAACTGGTGAATTCTGCACTAATCTGAGGTTAGCCTTAAGACTGGGCTCTTAATTGTCTTAAATTTTTAGCATTTCCGAAACTGTCTCTGGAGTAATTTTGTGTTTTAGAAGTGCAATGAAATGATGCTCGGGATGAGCAACGTATCTTTCTATTCATCTTTTCCAGGGTCGGCTCCATGATTTCGGGTTTTCTGATTGTTTTTTATTCCATTGCTGAATCATAATTTTTACAGCCGTCGCCGAAACGACAGTCTCGCACCTCAGAATGATTGCGCTCTAAACAAAGAAAAAATCAGCTTAATTAATGGCTAAAAATTGGCTTTTTGGTTGAATTCATCCGATGTGAGAAAATCAGAATGGAGATTTGAATCCGCGGCTTAGACTTGAGTGAGGAACATTTGCATAAATGGCGTTTCTCTGTCAGGCAAATCGTCGTCGTCCAAACATGGAAGAACAAACTTTTGTTCCGTTGTACAGAAGTTCATCATCAAATACAAAACTGAAAGCTGTTAACGCAGAAGTCGAAGTCTCTTTGCACCTGGTTTTGTACTTCTTCCCCCCTTTAAGTGGATTAAGTGGAAACTTTTGACTCTATCGTTCCTACATGAACTGAGATTCAGTTGTATATGCCAGACTTTGAGAATTTTCGCCCAACGCAGACTCTATTTAGAAATTTTATTTATTGGCTAGTCGCAGAGTCTGTGATATGATCTTTAACTATATTGCTTTTCAGCTTCCCATAGTTACGATTATGTTCTCCCTTTTTGCTAATTTATTGGAACTATTTTGCCAATGGCTGACGTAATCAGTTTTTGAACAATGAATCTCAACTTCACTCTAAAAATATACTCGATCAAAAAATTTGAGGCACGGAATGCCATATTTATTTTTGGTGACTTCGGCAAGACTGAAGAAACTGTTAGAAAATGCCACCTTCTGTTGTAGATACATTGGTCTCAACCTTAACCCCGTAATGAGTGCTGTGATGAACATTAGCAGAAAACAAATTTTAGCAGAATTCAACATGTATTGTGATTTTCTGCTTGTCACTACATTCTGTGTCTATATTCCACGCAGTACAACACCGAAAGATACAATTCCGGAAAAGACACCATTATTCAGGTCTATGGCTGTACTCTTATCTAGTGTGATAAGTGTTATATATTAAGCGAAGCAGTATGATGCGAGACGCATTGAGCAATGGAGGTACTTTGGAATAATTCCAGTTTAATAAATCTCTATATGATGCTGAACACTTAAACTTCAGGTACGATTGAGCCATAAATGCTCAGTTTTGTAGGAAATAATCAGATTTTCATACGTAATCAGGTTGCTTGTCTCACAACGCCTTTTCATGCATATTTTTCTATCTAAAATATATTTTTTGAATCAGTTTAAATCACTAACACAGAATCAGTTCTTTCTGAAATAAAATTTCGATTTAGAGAATTTTTAGGTAAGAACCTTTAGTAAAAGCAACAGGTCTCCTGATTCAACGGTGCAAGGTAATGTTTTATGCGAGTAGCGATGCGGTTTACTGTTTTGGAAGATTCCTAAGACAGCATGAATTTCAGGTCAATTAATTCAACAAAAGTTAACCGAAAGGAAAATGTTTGCGCAAACTGTCAGAGCTATTCGCGATCCTTCGGAATATTTGAGGTACACTCATTGTGGTGCAATCAACTGCTGGTTGACACTGCCACAAGTCATACAACGTTGTCGGTTGGCGACATTCTTCCACGCCAATTCTGGACGGACATGCACAATGTGTAACCAGTTCTAAATTACTGCGGTCTCGCACGTTGCCGTAAGGTCTTGACCTGTTTCCTATCAGCGATGGACCAAGACACGCAGCTGTTAAATTACTGATTCGCACTACCTTAAACAGTTCGAAAACATATTTTCATTTCTAACCATCATCATGTCACAATGTCGATTAGATAAACTGCTGCAACATCCAGAGTACACATATGAAACGCGACTGAGACCAGTGTGGGTACAATATGACGCAAACAAGACACCAGTTTCTGTGGAGTTCGAAACTGATAGCGGCACAAACTTTCAGCATCGTTCCATAAGTACAAAGATAAGGAAATCTACTGTTTGTTCTGTATCGTGTTGTTTTGACATAAATTACACGCTAGCTTATAGATGTACCAAGGTTACGCGAGATGTGCCGTGTGATGGCCCTTCTGGCCACCATGCAGTGCAACGTCACAAGAGTGACGGAGTTGGCACGAGGCCATATTTGATTTTATTATGGATTTCTA